GACACCGGAAGCAGGTTGACCTGCTAATTTACGTGACACCATTGAGCTCAACACACCACGCCAGCCACGTCTGATCTAACAAGCCGAAACACTCTGGGGCTGTGTCAGTATGTCCGCCCTTATTACTATATAGTGGCTACGCCATTTTAAATGTGTCAGAATGTTTAGTGGATGAAAAAGTAGTGGACTCGAAATTTCACGAAAACCTTGAAATGGAGTGATCATCCATGGTCACTAGATGAGCAGATATCTCACGGAATACATCATGGGGTTTGTTGTCACAGCAGCCCCTACTGTCGCCTACGGCTACCCGATAGCGGCGACAAATATTAAGGATGACACAGGTACCGTGCAGGGAGGCGGAGTCAAATGACCAACGGGGGGAGAAAAGTAGTATCATCTGTCCGCACAGTAAGTTAACTGAGGTCACTATAAAGTCCACTATATAGTCCCCTCTCTATCTAGTGATTGAGGGATTTAGGGGTTTGGGCGGACGTTCAGACACAGCCTTTGTTTATATCCGATAAACATGGCGCAGCACTTGTAAGAGGGATTCAGACTCAAAAAGAGCGAAACAATAAAGCACGCTCACTTTGATTGTTGCTTAAGGTTAGACAGGTGCTTCTGCAAGTGAGTTTGTTTAAAGGTTATAGACGTTTTTTATTAAATCCGCTGTCAACAACGGAGCAACTGATTTTAATTTCAGTTAGAGTTAGCTAACCTTTTTGTTTTGTGAAAAAGAAAAAAACATAATGAACATTGCATCTGGTAGGCCTGAAAACCATCTGGTGAACACTACAATTAAAGGTTGAAGTGAGAACGGGTAAGTGTGGGTGCACCACCTACTGCCCAGGAGGAATTCAACCTTTTAAGCCATCTTCTTTAAGACAAAATGCCTAGTCAGGGATTTTTATGCCACAATCTTCAGGCTCTCTACAGTATTTTTGTGAATACTCTCCGAGGTTACTATCCAAACCCTTGCACTGTGATGTTCAAAAATCCTAGAAACATGATACATTGCTAGATACAAGGGGATTGTTTATTTCTACGAATTAGCATTACAAAAACAAACTGATGGAAGTTGGAACAAGTGCTGTATATTTGCCCTACGGTCAAAAAGTCTTGACTGAGAAGAAAACCTCTGCTAAGGTTTTAATGCACACAAAACAAAAGGCCAAGGCCTAGGTCCAAGAGAGATAGCAGCAGTAGATTGAAGAGGGAACCGCATGCAGGAAGGAAAAAAAGGAGGGGAAATGGAGGGAGATATGTTGGGTTGCCAATTAATTGTGCACTTGCAGGAAAAGAGTGCAGACCTTGACACTAACCAAGGTAAAATAAAATTATAAATCTGTTTAGATAACAGGATCTCTGTGAAGCTAAAGGCCACCTCCTTCTCACAGCCACATTCCTGCATCAAAGGTAATGAGTATGCCGATGGGTTGTTCTAGAAAGTTAAATTAGCACTATTCACAATTAAAATGTACACTATTCACTGCGAGGGCCACTGGTTTTTAACTTTTGTTTGTGATGTTTCTGAAATTCCCAACATGAGAGACTAAAAATTCCCTTTGAGATGTTTTATTAAACATGGGCTCATTTATAAATAAACCTGTGTAAGTACAGTGCAGAGAAAAAAAAGGATACAGGGTTTACTTTTTTTGTACTATGACATTTTTTTAATTCTGCAATTAAGAGTTTAAGTTAAAAAAAAAGAAATATAACATTTCTTCATAATTTTCGGACAAATGGATGCTGTCTCAGAAGGTTCCTCCAGGTTTTCAGTTTATGAACAGGACCTGTCAAACAAATTTGACAGGTTTGTGCAATTAAAAGCATTTACTTAGATGCCAAAGAGTCTTCACCTGCGTGAGTGGCACTGTGTTTTTATAAACAGCATGGATTCATTGGAGAATGTAATATTTTGTAAGATGTTTCAGGAAAATCAATTCTGTTTAGACTGAATTTAAACTAGTCATAACCTGCTATTTTACAAATACAATCCCCCTAAAACGTATTGCATGTTTAATAGTTTTTAGGTGACAAAAAAGGTAAATAGGACCTATTTTTGGGCAGGTATGCTGTAGAATTTGACTTGTAAGTGTGTGTGTTCATTTGGATTTAGCGTAAGCAACTTTAGGAGTTTGCCATGGTTTATTAACCATTGTTTGAGGGTCTCTTACACAATAGGTAAAAAGTTAAACAAGCAACAACACTTTTAGACTACCTGCAGGTGGGTCTCTAATTGTACAAATCAACTCCTTTGATGGAATATATATAGGTTTGGTGATAGCAAGGCGGGCTAATGTTTGCACCAGAAGGAAGACCAAAATCTCCCTTTGTAGAATGTGTGTTCACCTGTTTGTTTCTGGTTTCAATATAGACCCCCCAGATTTCTTTATATTTTTCCGATTTTTTGGCAAGTTTTTGAATGAAGTCAAACCCAACCTCCCACTATTCCTGAGCTGGAAGATACAACAGAGATGGATGATGACGGGACAATTCCAATTACTTCACAGATCACTGTGAGTTAAATAATTTTTACACTCTTTGCTCCAGAGCGGGGTGTTCTCCGCCAACTCTGCCCCCTGCCTTGCTCTATGCGGTGGGTTCTTGCCCTTATTTCACGCTGCTTCTGGCTGGGCTCTAGAAGTTTACTTAGGAGATCGGACACTTCAGAGTGCACCAGGTCAGGGTAAGGTCCCCTAACTCTGCCTCACTCTCTACCAGGAGTTTGGAGGAAGAAAGCTGTAGATCGGAGAAAGATGCTCGGCAGATAGTCTATTAGATCTGGGGAGAGACGGTGGTTGGCTGGGTCTAATCCTGGAGGCTAATTGGGGAGACCAGATGCTGGGCAGAGTGCAAAATTGGGGCAAGGTCAACTGGGGAGCTCCTTGAGGAGGGTAAATTAAGAATTATTTAACAATTATTTAAATGGCTAAATTAAAGTGGCTTTTTAAAAAGCCACCCACAAACTGCTGAATAGCATTCCTACATCCTATTTCAACGTTATTTGTTTAATATTGAATAAAAGACGTATTTCCAGCTTTTTAACATCTACAGCAACATCTCTACAAAAAATGTTTTCTTTTAAAAACATGAATTACCCTGGGTGTTTTCTATTGTTATTATGCTTTAAAAACCGTAACTAATGTCAGCAGTACTTTTTCTTCCTGCAATTTCAGTTGCACCTGTTGTAATAAATACATATAAAAGCATAAATGATGTGTGTAAATATAGTATTACGGTACTTTGTAATGAAAAGGACTTGAAATGACTCAAAACTCAAACTGCAGGACTTGGGATTTGACTTTAGACTTGAGGGCAAAGACTTGTGACTTGCAAAACAATGACTTGGTCCCACCTCTAGGTTTAAGTAAAATAAAAACAGGAAAGCAGCTTAAACATGTAGCATCCCCTGTAGTTAAAATGCCATCGATTCAGCAGGTTTTTATTTATTCATATTTCTGATAGGTGACAGCAGGCAGAGAAGAGTTGCCTTCAAAGTGGCTCTTCAAACACACAGGTTTAACTGCTCTGGTTTGAGTAGCCTTCAAAAAATCACACTATATATCCATCTCCCATAATTCCTGTGGAGTTGATCTTTTATATATGTTAAGTCTATGGCACTGTCTGTTCCCATGGCTTCCAACTGGGTGCTGGAAAAATATGTTTTTACACAAAAGGCATGTTCATCTCAACATCAGTAAACCCAACAGGAAATGTTTAATCTTAAAGGAATTGTGTTCAGTCTCAAGTGATGGATTTGGCAACAACATGAACATCTATGAAAGGAAATGGATTTGTAAATCCACAGTAAATCATAAACCCACTTGTGGAGCAACATAAACTCCGCTGATGCGAGATGGAGCCACTTGTGCATGAAAAGCACTGCAGATGTACATGCCTGGAATAATCACATCGGTTGCCTTAAAGCTAAACAACGGCTTGTCTGTATCCCGCTCACATCCTCACCGACAAATCTCCCTCTATGTTTTCAGGAAGAGGATTTGACATAAACTGCAACATTTGCATGATAGCATTAGTCAATCTTAATAACATTTATACCCAATACTGAGAAAATAGAAGTATTTGGTGCCTGTTCTGGTAATGTGTGTATAAGTGATTAAAGGCTTCTTGGATACATACGCTTCAAATACCAGTTTTTAAGATGCCTTCTGTACACATAAATTAGACGTAACATTATGCCCTTGATATTGTTTTGAGAAACGTTTGCAGCAAAACAGCTCTGACCCACTATTAATGGACTCCCATACACGTACACCTGGAAGGTGTACTGCAGTATTATTATGAAGATGCAGACGACTCTTTAAATCCCATAAACTGCGATGTGAGGTCTCAATGAATTGAATATTCCACAGAAGCCACATGTATGCAAAGCTTGGACTGAACTTGATCTTGTGCTCCTTAAACTTATTCTGAAACCAATACTGTTTTGCAACAGAGCCAAAGAGATTATGATGCATTCACACCCAACGTGATTACGGTAAGGAGGCGCTGTAGAGCTCAGACGGTATCAGCAAGAGACTTGGAAAATAGCAAGTGGCGTAAGCTGCACAGTAAACGGCTTTTTAAAGCCACCCACAGCCTTCTATAGAGCTTTCCTATTTCCATTCTATGTCCACTATCATTTTTCTATCTTCAACTTTGATTGAAAACAGATTCACCACTGCTGCGCCCCTTCATCCTATGTCACAGCAATATCCAGTCCCAGACTGGTTTATATCATGCAAATTAACAGAAAAGTTCACATTTTTGAACTCCATTGGTGTGTCATTAAAACGCTGTCTGCAACACTGCTCCGGTAAAGAACAGTAGGTGTTGCACGTCCCGCGACTTCCACTGGACCCAAGACTTCTTAGCAGATCATTGGCCAAGCCATCAAACTGACTCGGCTGGCTTGCCTTCTTTCTATGGTTATTCCTGGTACCATGTTTTGCCGTATAAGTGATGCACAATGATCCAACCATCCAGGTGATGTAAGCGAAAACATCTTCTATTGCTCAATGGTCCAGTTTTGATGTTGAGAATGGGTTCCTCACTCGTCTATGGAGCCATACAGTAAATGAAATGAATATATGTGCATGAAAAATCCGAACACTTGGTTCCACTCAGATTGTTTAACCCGTCATATATTTTTTCATTTAATTCTATCTTCCTCATTCAGATAAAAAAAGAAAGTCCTAAAAAAAGACAACCATAACATTCATAAGACGTGAACAAATTATTTAGGTGTGTTATTTCTACTATTATGCTTACCTTTGTTCCCTTCTATGTATTAAAAACCATTAAAAGTAGGTAAAGAAAAAGAAAAGATCTTAACAGCCTAATTATTCTGGTTCACGTCTCTCTATTCACTCTTTGTATGCTCCCGTAGTCAACAAAAGCTCCGCCACCAGAGCCAGAGGCTACAGTGGGAAATGGATCTAGTTCTGAATCACTAATCTGTTTTTTAAAGCAAAGCACGCGACAATAGACAGAAACGTTTCTCTGAAGCCTTTAAGCCATTACACCTACACTCATGCATCACTGGCATCAGAATCAGTCACTCCTTTTATTTGTAGTACGTTTTAATGACTGCTACAGCTGCTGAAACAAGCTCTACATTTCTCTCCATTTCCTCTAAAATAATAGAACTTTTAGAACAACTCTGGGGAATAATGGGTAGTTGTTGGGAAGCAACTAATATGAAACTAACCCTCACACCTCAGTTGTTTCAGGTGCTTCCATAATCCTTTCTTTATCAAAGCCCTTCATGTTTTCATGAATTGGCCCCACTGAATAGTAAGTCCAGATGCTGTAAAGTTTTTACCCTAAATACTTGGCTCAGACTCCTTTTGCAATGATCTGCTTAGGGCTTAGGGACAGGCAGCTTTATTAGCAGTAACCCTATGTGGTTTATCCTTCTTCAGTCATAAGGTGTCATAAGTGCTGGGGACCTGTCAAAGCTGTAAGCTTGTTCATGATTTTTTTTAGAAAATAATATTCCTGTATAAAAATCCTTATTTCTTTAACCTTTTAGTCATATTTTAATTTTACGAGAAACATTAATCAAGATGACCATTAGCTGTAGGCTATAATTATTAAAATCCTTAAAGAAAAACACAAATTTTCCTATATTGAATTAAACTTCAGCGATAAATAAACTTTAAAATCACATTCTAGTGTCTGGAGCTTATATTATCTTAGGTCTTTTAAAGCAGTAGAAATCCTTGTAATACCCATGCTGTAAGTCTTCATCTTTAAATTATTGGTTATTTCTGGAGAAATGTGAATGAATGACAAATGGTTGTTACACTTTAAGTTTATGTTTACTTCTAAACAATGAAAAGTACAGACACATTTTTGACTTTCAATAAGAAATGTGGGCACTGATTGCGGGGTTCCCTTTTTATTAAGAGGATAAATATGAGTTTAGGCAAATGAACCTGAAAGATTTCAGTGATTGAGGTGATTTATGCCCAAATACAAACAGATCAATGCAGCTCTATTCTTAGACTCTCAGAGGAGGTCGTTTGTTTGTGTGAACGTGTGAATATGCGTGAGAGTATGGGGTACCGTCTTATTCTGTGAGCACACCGACAACACAGCGTGCTGTTTCAGCTGCTTTGTGCTCGCATTAAAGTCATTGTATCCCTCATCTGGATTCTCTACAGGGGTGAGCTTAGCTGCCGTGTCTGTCGGCTCCAGTGGACAACCCACGGAGACTGCGTGACTGTTCTCTTGGAGGGGCCACATTTCCTGCCAAGTGAGTGATGGATGATGTGGTGGATGACCGCTGAGCAGAGGCCTTTTCTGTCTATAGTTAGCCCACACCTGAAGGATTGTTTCTTTAAAAGGCCGCGTAGTAAGGGTGTAGAGGATGGGGTTCAGGGCGCTGTTGATGGGGAGAATAAAGATGACCACCCAAGAACAGATCGTACCTGTAAAAAAAAAAAAGGGTAAAAAATAAATACACCAGAAACCTGAAACGACTTAACCCATGTGAAGAAGCCAAATATCATATCTATTATTAACATTAATTTTACATTGCTTTAACTACACAAAGCTGAAAAAAATGTAAAAGAGAAGAAGAATCTATGGCTGTCATGATCTTGGCACTGATGGCTGGCTTGATTTTTCATTTCATTCTCCTGTCTAGCTCTGCCCCTTTCCTCATCACTGCTCATCTGATCCACCTGCTTCAATTTAAATGTCTTGGTTCCAGCCATCAGGGCCAGATTATTCTTGAGTCTTTGGTGTTGACCGTTTTCTAGCATTTCTATTGTTTGATGATTGCCTGATCCTTATTTATTTCTTCATTTGGACCGTTGTGCCTGCCTTCCAGTGTCTGATCTGTTTGCCTGGCCTGCCTTTGGACTCCTGTTGGATTCTTCTGTGGACCGAACCTGGATCTGCATCTTGACTTCGCCCTGTGGATTATCCTGACTTCCTTTGTTAGCTTGGATCTGATCTCCTGTCAGCTCTGCAGCCTTCGAGGCTTCCGCGTCTGGAACTCTCTGGCAGCATCTGCTGCGACTCATCCATGTTCTCTGGGCATAGACTGAACTATCAAACCAGGTTAGTGACTCACTCGTTCATAATTATCCTCCATCAGTTTATCGTGGTGACTAACCTGTGTTTCTCTCCCATAGAGGTTCCTGCCTCAGACGTCCTAGCCATTACCACAGCCAACGCCACTGCAGATTTGTTCCGTCATTGTCTGAATAAACACTTTTTATGTATCCCACTGTCTGTCTTGCCTGAATTCTGGGTCCTACTTTCTGACCCATTACAATGGGTTTAATTTGTATTCAGCACCTTTACCACAAAACCCATTTAAATGTTCTGTGCAACCACAATTAATGTTTAAAGTGATATTGTGGGGATTTAGACCAGGTGAGACTACTTTATTTTTTTTTGACCTTCATGGATAATTGGACACACCATCAAAGCATTAATGCATAGTCTTGACTGCATCGTTGCGTAAAGATGTAAGGATTGGTATATTTAGTTACTGTTTTTTTGTTTTAACAAACATTCTCATTTATAATTTTTAGCTACTAGAAACTGAGTTATCTTTGCTTAAATGGGGCAACATCTGGAAAAAAATGTCAGCCCATACACTCTACCTCACTGGAAAAATGAGACAAGCCATCCCAATACGGATATATTTTGAGAGGCACTTCTGCAACCAGTGGGAATACCTCCTTTATTAGGTACCAAAGCTTATCTCTCAAGATGTCAATGTTTGCTTCCACAGAGCAGGGTTTATCAGATAGGGAGCAGAGAGGATGAAAAGGCGCGCCTGCAGTCTTGACCTCAGCTTCACTGAACCTGTGGGATAAACTGGGTTTGTGCTGTTTATGCCAGAGGGATCAACACACACTCACACTGTTTGACTTGTGACAAATGCCGGTTGAGAAATCAGATGCCATCATAACAGTGTGTATGCAAATTGGTGATTAGCATTACCAGAAAGTGCCAAGCTATTACGGTTATTCACACACACACACACACTACCCAGGCTGCTGATTGTTAAACAAATAGGTCCAGTTGGTGGCAACGTATTTTGTTTGTCCAAACTTAAATCATTGACTCCAAAATAGAAAACTGTAAAATCAATCGTGCGAAAAAAGCCCATTTATTATTATATTGTTATTTCTTAAGAAACAAATCTTTCTCAAATATGGCAGAATTTAAAACCAAACAGAACATCTCAGATTAAATAACAATCCAATATAATTTTATTTTTTTGCCATCACTATATCTGTATTTATAACAGATATGCACCAAAAAGAAAAATGCCAGGAGCATTGTGCATGCAGCTTTGACTAAAGTCTTAGAAATTATTGTTTTTGATTGTGACATATAAAGCTTTTTTTTAGGCTGGTAATTGTTTCCTAAAATGTCAATTTTTGTTTTCAAAGCAGCTCATTGTGATTTCCAACAGGCATCACAGAATTACTTTGGGCAGATCCACTTTTTATATTGAAAGATCATAGTTTGTGGAAGTTTTAAAAACATTTTTCTTACCAGGAATCTCAAGTTGCAGCAGAGACAGAATCTTAAGGATGAAAATGGGGATCCAGCAAAGAGAGTCAGTAATTACGATGGAGAAGAACCGCTTGGCGATGGTCACCTCTTTTTTGATATGGTTGCTGTACATGGTTGTCTGAGTGCCTGTCCTCTGGATGTTATAGAACATGCTTGCATAGGAGAAGACAATTATAAGGAACGCCACCAAGTTGAGACCTGATGAGAGAGTATTGATTTTAAAAACTTTAGGAGCTTAGCAGGGTTAAATAATATTTCTACATGTCAGAGTATCTTACTTAGACATACTATATGTATGTGGTAAACCTTTGAATAAATAAATAAAAATGTATACTATAAATGTGAATTAAAATTTCTAGACCACAAATAGGAGTGAAGATGGATTAATAGATCCTGCTTCTATTAACAAAAAATGCCTGTCAAAACAATTTAATTGGATGGATGTTTGTGAACAGATATATATTGAATACAATTGGTAAAAATTGTTTACATGATATGAACAAATCCTCACCGAGAAAAATAACAATGGAGTAAACATGAGCCCAGGGTGTTTCTGGCTGCTCAGAGTGCAGAGGGAAGCAGACCCCGTTGGTTCCATAGAAGTTACGAAATAAACCCTTGCAGGCCAGAGGCAAAAAGGCAACTATAAATCCAAACACCCATATCCCGAACAGGATACTGACGGTTCTTCTCCAGCCGGGGGTCAGATAGTGAAAAGGGTAGACGATGCAGATGTACTTCTCCAGGGTGAGATATGTGAGGAGCAGAACGGAAACCTCGGTGGACAGCATAGCCAAAGAGCCGATGACCTGACATTGAGTGCTGTCCATCCAGGCTTGAGCATGGCGATTGTACTCGCCGCGAAACTTCAGGTCATACGCACCAATCATGAAGAGATAAATACCCATCAGCCCGTCAGCACCTGCAGGAAAAAAACAGTTTCTCTCAGAGATCAGTAACTCTGAAAATAAACAGAAAATGAACAGCAGGTCACCTTCACCAGGTACAGATAGGATGTGATTTCTATGGTTTGCATCTATTCTGAATACACGCAGCAGTTGACATGGAACGAAAAAAAGAATTAAACACATCTGCTAATTTAGTATTTTGTGTCCAAAATGTACAGTTTTGGCCACTAAAACCAAATCATATTAAAAAGAAAGGAGCCTACTATTTTTTAAACATTGGTTTAACAATGCTTAAACATAAAATCCATATTTCTACATTGTTTTGTAATAAAGTGTCGCAGAGGTTTACTGATAGACCTGGTAGTTGCTCAAAGAATAAAATAAAAACTAAGTCCTCTAGAATGTCTGCAAACCCAATCTAAAATCATCTGCTTTTTCAAAGAGAAACTTATATTAGCATAACAACTCAGCATGCAGGCACCTTACCAAAGACAATAATCAAGGTTTCCTTTGGTAGAAAGACTGATGTATGTAATGTACTGGAATCTTGCAGAGAGGTTGCATTTACAGTGTTGCAAATTCAAAAGTTATATTCGCTAACAAGTAAAAAGCTCTTTCATTGGTTTTTCTTTAATGCTTAGCTGCACAAAAGAAAAGACCCCTTAAAAGTAATTGGGTTATTATGTTCCAGCGTCACAGCTTATCACAGCTTGTGGGTAATTGTACCCAGAAACGGTTGAATACTGGATGACGCAATATTTGAAATGAAAGCAAAAAGACACACCTGCAAGACCTTCAGTAGGCTACTCTACAGTTAATACCAAACACTGTCCACGCACTGCAAGCTGTGCCTTCTTTTGCCTTGTCATTTCAAACTATCCACCCATTTTGTTGCGTTATGACTGAACATTTTTATGTATCTGCTGCGATTTTAGTGAAAAACCTTATTAAATGAGTACAAGTAAGAAACAGAGGCACTCATCTGTGTTCACTCTCCTTTTCTCTGGAACCCCTTAATAATACCCACTGCAAGGAAATGTGATTTGACAAATCAGGGAGAGATGAATAAAGATGTACTCCACAGTCCACAAGCAGAATTTTAGGTCTATTCATCATGGTAAGCCAGGAGCATACCTAATGTTTCATTTCCAGAGCTTATGGATGAGATTATGGAGGTCATGTGGCTCCATTGAGACACCATATGCATTAAATAAGGCCATGTCCACTACAGATGTTGAAGACTATATTCCCCTTATTACTCTGGGCATATTTCTCCAGCAGTATTTGAACATTCTCTTAGTCTTGTTGGGGAGTAATATTGATAACTGATTGTTTTCAGATCCCTGTAGACACAACAGCTTTAAATCCAGGTCCAAATTCCACATGCTGTAATGGTGCAGTGTAAAAACGAATTACTCATAGATTCTCTGGCTGTTGCTCATCATGATCCCTGTACGTGAAATATCGACCAGTCAACAGTTGGTAGTTTATAGCCAAGTTGTCCTTAGCATCAGTATTCAGTACTGTATTATCCTTTACATTAAAATCAATAAATATGAGATGTCTGACTAAAGTATTGACAAACAACAGAGACCAGCAAATAATTGTAAAGATGCAAAGTTTTTGGTAATCTTTACCAATTATAATCATAGTGTGGTGATATTAAAGCTGTTATATCGGAGAATTTTACTAAAAAAACAAACACAATAACTTTTACCCTGGAAAATTTTCTCAAATGTTCAAAATTTCACAAGCAGCATATGCTGGAGTTTGGAAAAAATGAACTTTTGCTGCTAGAACCACCACATCAACCAATCGAGAAGCTGACCTGCGAGCTGGCAAGGAGACAAACATCATTGCCGATGCAGAGTACTAGGATCAATCCACTCAAACTGTTTATTAACGCCTAAATTAACTTAATACCTGCCGGCAAAATACTTTCGCTTTTTTATTCTGGTGCTTGCAGTTTGAGCTACATACATGAAAAAGTCTAATATCTAAAGCTGCCACAAACAGTAGCGGAAACCCCCAAGAAGTGACGGCAGCAGCTGCTAGGGATTCCCAATGACAACACACCACACGGTGAGATAATATTTGAAGGCAGGATTTTAATCTTGATGAACTGTCTTAACAGACGATATAGTAGGTTTACTTTCTCACATTAAAATATATTCAAACTACTTTTTTACCCGCCAATCACAGCAAATATAGCAAAGCCACCCCCTGCCATTGAACACAGGAGCAGCAGAAGCATTAGACGCAATTATACGGTATTTTGCTGAACACGCTTCAGGTGCGTCAAAAATGAGGCGAGTCAGACAGTAGTTTGTACAAGCATCAAAAATGAAGCAGCAGACACCTAGTGGCTGCTCAAATCATGGTGTGAACGTAGCATTTCACTTTCTGATTGTTTAAATTAATCTATAAAACATAATATTTTACCTAAGAAGGATCGCATGACCTCCTTATGAAATTTCTACCTCCAGTCAAGCACACATATTTCCCATAATCAGGACAAAAGTAGTGTTGTAACAAAGACTAAAAGTTAGCTGCATTCCCCTCAAAATGCAGGAAATAGCATTTCAGAGAGGCTACATTTCAACATTTTCCGAGGGAGAATACCCTGGACCCCCCTATGCCAAGCAAATTTGCTTGGCGTAGCAAAGGAGGCAAACTAGTTTGCACATTCTTTGCATAATCCCACAATAGTCAGACTAGTGAAAGGCTGCTTGTAAATATTGTTTTAAGTTAAGCCACAGACTCTTAACTGGATATGGGTCAGACTTGGACTAAGCCATTCTCACACAAGAGCAAGCTCAGTCTCACCGTTCACCACAGTCTAATTTGGAAATAAAATCAGTTTGACTCGGCCTATTAGGAAAAAATGCATATGAATCTGAATCAGTCCATCCAGATCAGGTCTGCTGATACCATTCACAGAACCAACATCCCAGCAATCGTTTTCTAGACAAACCTAACTGTAAACTGTTCAAATGGGATTAATGAGCTGGCATATAGTCATAGTCAGTGGAATAGAAATTTGCCAGGTTAAAAGTATAAAAGGTATTTGAAATACATTTCGTTAGGTCAATATTTTTATCATTATGAAATATATAAAAATGTTGTGGTTGAAAAATGAAAAAAGTGCAAAAGTTTAAGGGGAATAAATACTCATAAAATCCCGACTATAAATATTAATGTTAAACTTTATGATATATTCTTTAAATGAACTACAAATTAAACATTTTATTCATTAATGCCGTTGAATGCCCTATAAATGATTATATTTTAATCTCACTAAGAAAAATTATTTTTAATAGGTTAATTTTGGCAGAATAGGTCATTTTATTTAACTAAATTACTCATATGTAGGAGTCCATGCAATTTTAGCGTCGTCTTCTAAATTAGCAATACATGTTTCTCTGCCAGTTGTTTTAGTTCTGTAGAGGTTCCAGTTTCTAATTGCCCACTAAGAGCGTTTCCAAAAGAGTGGTGTTTTTTACAAGCAACCAAAAATAATATTTGATAGTATATGATAAAATAAGCAAACAGAAATCATAAAAAAAAAAAAATGTCACGCAGAAACCTTCAGATGAGTTTTACTTCAAAACCCCCCCCTTTCAATGCAGCACACTCCATTCCAAATACTTTCGTTGTCCTTGAAATGCAGTTTGACTCACAGCAGAGGGAAATGATACACATGGCGTGGAGTTTGTTCTCGGAGCGGATGTACGACCGCATGCAGATGACGAAGATGTTGCCAAAGCAGGTTGTGGCAGAAACAACCCAGACAAAGACTCGTAGGACGATGTTGGCCAGTAGGTCCTCAAAAGAAGAGATGCCATCTGTGTTGGGCTTGCAGCTGCGTACGTGAGGGGCATAGCCGCAGTACTGGAACTTCTTGAAATAGCTACAAAAACAACATAAAGAGAGCAATATTGGGCAAGAGTGTGTTTGTTTGCAGTGGCTAGTGGTCTATCTATATATTAACCCAAGTGTCTATTTATACATTTGGACTGAAGAAAGAACAAAGGGACAGTGATCTCATTTCGCTGTGAAATTAGCTCATGGCAGTGTGACACTGTTTGGTGCAGGGAGTACAAGTCTTATTAAAAAAAAAAAAAACATAAAAACAGTTCAAAATACTGAACACATGCACCAGTATACAATCTGTTGTTAGAACCTGAGCTTTTTCACATTTCACAAACTTCAATTCTAGTAAAGTTTCTAAGGATGTTTGTGATAGATCAACTTAAAGTAGGTACATTCACAGCTGTTTGGGTGTGACTTTATCAGCCTTACCCATCTCCTGCCTAGGGATTCTTAAAGAAAACCATTTCAGAATTAACTGTTGATTAATTGTTTATTTGATTAAAATTTGTTCTATATGATAAACTGATAACATCTGCTTAAACTGACCTAATCACAGTGTTACGAACATTCTCCTAAAGTGAACACATGACAGTTGCAAAAGGAGTAATGAGGCCTGCTAGAGCAGAAACATGAATCTATATAAACAGAGTCTAATGCTGGGTTAATTTACACTGTTTAATGGTTGCAAGGCTGCAGAATGCACTTCATATAGTCCTGTTTATATAAACAGTCAATAAGGGGACATTTTAGTAAGCAGGACAAGTGAAATCTGCATTAAGCAAAACACTAGACCATTATATAAAAAGATATGACACCAATGAGACTAATAAATTCTGAGGACTTTTGTAAGTCAATGCACTTTATGGAGAGAGATTCCTTTGAGAGCAAGCAGAACCACCCATTAAGAAGCATGGTTAACACCACAAAGTGCTGCTTCCACCTCTAGCTGCTGCACCGCACTAACAGAGAGCTACATCACAGTTACTGTTCAATTTATCAACTCCAATTGGAGGTAAAGTCTAATGGCAAGTCAGAGAAACCAGCCTTGTATCTAAACAATATTTTTATATGTTTGTTCGTGGGAGGTTTCACTGTTTCATATAATTTTATTATATTCATCTTATTTTTGTCCTCAGCAACCTAACATGTATATTCATTCTGTATTTAGTCAGTACTTAATCCAGCTGGCACAATCAATTGTTGTGATATATAAACCTTGTTATCGGAGAAAGTTCTGATTATCAGTTAATCAACCATCAATAAGATAATCAAATTTAGATCAAAATTGATGACCTACATCTCTACTCCAGAGTATTTTTTTGGCGGCTTTGAAAATATTAGTTCAAGCTCTTTAAAGGTGCCTTCACATTGAATGTGAATTAGAATTTGGTGGGTGAAGTGAGAGATGTACATGTTATCCCTAAGTAAAGGCACATTTAAGGGGAATTAACAGGTTTTAAACAAGAAGGACGTGTTTCATGTGATGCGAATGACACAAATTGGGCTATTTGAGCAAAGTGGTACAGCAAGAGGCCTGGTCAACAAGTGGATGAAGCGGCGAGGACAGAGCGGCATGGAACTACGAGTAGGAATGGCAGGTACAGTAAAGAGCTGTTATTTTCTGTTAATTCTGCAGCCTTAACCTTTCAGGTTAAGGCTGCAGGCTTTTTTAAGGCTTTTTTATTGCCATTACACTGTCACAACTACAGAGCAACAAAATGAACTCTGCATAAGAGTTTTACTCTCTGCAGTTAAGCCCCACATGGGGATCAGTGTGGGGTTTAAATGTCTTGCTCAGGGACCCAGAGTGACAGTCCGTGGGAGTGGGGATTGAACTCAGAACCTAGGCCGCCACTCTCCAAAGCATGCATTAGCATAAAGGGTGTTGCCTAAGGACCCACAGCTTATTCCCCCAGCTGGAATACGAACCCAGGATGGTTGACTTGCCACTTTAGCCAGCCACTCGTCTGGTTGTGGCTGTGATGTAGGATGATGGAGCGAAGCAGACATTAAGATTTTTTCAGTCCCTGTTAATGGGTCCTCGACAAATGAAAGCTCTGCTGGAAGCACACAACTAGCTGCAGGTCCTGGAGCAGGTGGTGATACTGGTAGAGCTGGGAGCAGATCCGGTGGACCCAGGGATGCCACTGCCGTTGTTGGCCTTTACATATCTCATACAGTGCTGTGACTCCCTTGGTAAAATCAAGGTGAGCCAAGGTCAGCTGAATTGACAACAGAACCCGTGTTATATCTTATTCTATGAGCCACCATATGTCGATGGTTTATAGAATAACCCTTCACATAATTTGAAGAAATATGCTTTAAATTTAAATTTTTCTTCTCTGTTCCTTCATCTCCATGATGTAGTTTGTTCTCCACTGTGGCTGCAGGCATGCTCAGTGTGAGGAATTGCTGTAGAGTCCTCATGGGGCGGGGGCTGTTTCATGCATGTAGTTTTTCAATATAATGCATTTTTTTTTCTCAATTTAATATTATTAAATGCTTAGTAGTGATGGTTCGAGCAGCACTGATGCATTGGCACATGTGCAACCCTGCTTCGGCGTTAGTTCATTATCAAATTCATCAATAAATATGGAGCAGCCTCAAGGCAAAAGGAAAGGCTTCATCCACCTGGAACCATTTTGATTTTATATTTGTTTTAATTTACAATAGAATGGAATAGAATAGAATAAAAAATGTCTTTATTTTTATCACAATGGGGAAATTCTTGTGTTTACAGCAGCAAAAACATCATAGAAAAATGTATAGAAAATAGAAAAATGTCACAAATGTGGACCTTAGAAAAATTTATAGGGGTAACATAATAGTGGAGACTTAAAAGATGAACAATAAAATACTGTACTGTAAAGAAAACCCTCTTCTTCTCGGTTATCACTCCAGTTATCTGAATTGAAATTAAATTGACTTTGACCTTTAGTTTACCGTACTAAATTTACTAATTGTATGTATTTTTTTTAGATCCTAGTCCACAATCATCCTTATTCAGATGTTCACCTGAATTTTCACATTATATGTTCGCATAATTAATAGACTGTAACTAAAAATATTGAAGGTATTTTCAGTTTAAAGGAAGATATGAAATAGTATAATATAACATACAATGGTTTAAATCACATTATAGGGCATCAAATAAGTGTCATTTGAGTCTGTCAAAGCAGCCGCTTATAGGGATTTTAAATGTCCACCAGGTGTGAATAATGAGTGACATAGTATCGGTGCAGTATCAGTACAGCTTGCAACGCTTCATGACGCCTTATCAACCCATCACTACTGCTTGGTTTGGTCAAACAAAGATGAACAAAAATGGGTGTCATTGCTAACAGAAATATCAAAAGATTTATGTAGTTTTGGAGGGAAGTGATTTAGATATTTTAAATTGAAGTGACCAATTTGCTTTGACATAAGCACACCTTTATATATTGCTGCAAAAGAAAATGGTTGGTGTTCAACCATTGTTCACTATAACATCAAGAAAACCCAGCATGTCTTATTTTCCAGTTTATATTAATGGGATTTATTATCTCACATTAAAACTAGAGAGGATACTATAACCCCAAAACCATCAAAAAGGGAACCCATTAATCCCATAGATTCTGCATATTTGGTTTCTGAGAGGTCGTATTACTTTAAACTTGCTTTAATTGTCTCCCAGGTGAACCTGGAGTTAAGCCCCAGTAAAATTACACTGTGACTCAGCCTTATCAGTACACTATGTGTAAAAAACTGAAGGTCTCTAAAGAGCAGGACAATGTAGTACTTACATGTGAGTCAAGTATCTGAGAGGTTCAAACATCCTTCGCTGTATATTATCGATTTCTATCCCCTCTATGCTCCTGAGAAAAATATAAAAACATTGATTTAGTCTCAGTCAGATTTTGAAACGGTGAAAGTGCAGTGCTGTGAAAAAGAATGAGTCGCTATGGATTTTCCGTCCTTTTGTCACTTCAGTGTTTCAGATATTATAGAATATTTATACCAGGCAAATATTTTACAAACTCTTTTCAAGATATTTTTTTTCATGCCAATTAGGAGGAAAATTGCTACTGGGGCCTGGATTATTGGCCTGCTGGATTAGCATAGGGTAAATGAGGCATGCAGTGATTTTAGTGGGCCAGTGACTTCTTGGAGGTTTTGCGACATGGTCATGTTTTCCATTTCAGACACTGATAGAGAACAGTTTTTCTCCTTAAATCTGCAACAACATTTTTCGAGGTCAAGATCAGGATTGTGAGATAAAATACTTACAAAGACTTTAGCTTGTGTAACTTATCAAAGTGATCCAGTTGAAGTTCTGCGATGGGATTGTAGGAAATGTTTCTACAACAGAGGATGTTAAAATTAGCCAAAATGTTAAAATTTGATCCCTGATCTTAGACTGCAGTAAATCCTGCAGAGATTATAAAACAGACTTCAGCGCTACATCTCAATAACATGTTTTTCTTTTTAACTCCTACATGTTTTCCCTCCAATCATGCTGTCAAAACCACCTTCAGCAGCAACTGCTGAAGTCATCCTAACTTTGTTCTGCTCTACATGACATCTTGTTATAAACCCATCATGCTGTTTTTGGGCCCCTTTCTGCTCACAATTTCTCATATAATAAATATATAAAAAACTTGGTGCAAACCCTTAAACACTTGATTTTTAATACATAATCTTAGTTAACATTATTCGTATTGCAACAATCTCTAAAATATTCAACATTTAACTGACACTGAGTTACGTCCAAACTAATTCTCGCAGACATCCACATGCTAATTCTGCTGCAGCAACCCAAAGCTAAACATGGAATGAATTTACTTTGAAGGAGATTTTTTTATTTTTATGGAGAACTCACAGTTGGAGTAAATCCGCCAGTAAGACAAACAGATTGGGAGGTAAGGCCACCAGTCTGTTGTTGGACAGATCCCTGCGCAGAGAAACAATATGTACATATTCCTAAAGCAAAACTAATTCAGAAGAGAAAGCATTGGAAACATCCTGTATTAAGGATTACGTAAGGGATATCATTTTTCACTATCTAGCCACTGATAACCTTAATATGAACAAAAAAAATATTATTAAGCATGTTAAAATCAAATAGAAAACAATAAAACAGGTGATTTACTCAATAAACAGACCACACACCATACTTTTTCCATTTATTTTATTTGTAGATATGGTGATTAAAACATATGTAAGAGGATTAGGGCAGGAATGGCAGGTACAGTAAAGAGTTGTTATTTTCTGTTAAATTCCCCCAGTTTAATATGGGGGAAAAAGTCAGAATTCTGACTTTTTTCTCAAAATTCTGACTTAAATCTCAGAATTCTGACTTTTTTTCTCAGAATTCTGACTTTAATCTCAGAAATCTGACTTTAATATCAGAAATCTGACTTTTTTCTCAGAATTCTGACTTTGATTTCAGAATTCTGACTTTTTTCTCAAAATTCTGATTTTAATCTCAGAATTCTGACTTTTTCCCAGAATTCTGACTTTAATCTCAGAATTCAGACTTTTTTCTAAGAAAAATGTCAGAATTGTGAGAAAAAAGTCAGAATTCTGAGATTAAAGTCAGAATTCTGACTTTTTTCTCAGAGTTCTGACTTTTTTCCCATATTAAACTGAAATAAAATGTAAAAATTAGTTCACTTTTTTTTTTCTCAGTGGCCCTAATCATCTTCCGTAGAAAAAGGCTTGAATTATAACTCAAAATAATTCTCGTCTCTGATCAAATTGTGCAAAAACAATGTTTAAAAATTTATATAAAATTGCAGTTACTGTAACCATATATTTGTGTCATCACCCAAATCCCCACCTATAATCACAACCCTCCTGTCCTGCAGCAGCTGCTTCACCAGCTCCCTGACAAAATTTTGCATCATCTCAAGCACTCTTCAACCTGCATTTAACGCCATCTGCAATCTCACCCCTCAATATTTATCCAACCTACTAGGTGTCTCCTTCTCCACTCGTTCCACTCGCAGGGCTTTCAGTCACTGGGCTCCTCAACTTTAACTATCACAATCAGACCTACAAAACATCACTTCTCTCTCACACTTTTTTACCCATCAGTAATATTTTAGCATTTCTTAAATGCTTGATTTTAATGTATAACCTTGAGTTCCTAAAATGTGTTTAAGAATAAAGTACATTGTTATAATTTTACTTATGTTGAAAGCAGATAAAACTGAAAATATGAAAGCACAAAATAACATACCACATCACATCATTGGAAACCATCCAACATTTCTCTTTTAGACCAATAACACATCCAGTCAGGCTGTTGGTATTGTGGCTCTTATAATGTTGGCAGTTTTAACCAATCAAACCATTTCACAGGTCCACCAAGAGATGTGACTGATCTGTCTCCTAATGGTGTAAATATAGCCAAATATTTCTAAATATAATGAAATTATTTAGTATATTAGGGTTTGTACGTGCTTAAGTAAAGAGAATGATACTAGGCTTCTCTTATTTCTTGAAGAGGTTTCTCCTTTCATTCAAAAGGCTTCTTCTTCATGTTTCCTTAATATGGCCATGTAGTAGAGATGAATCAGTGACCCTACCCTCCATTTTCAGAATTTTCTTAGTCAGTGTTGCTTGAGGAGTCTGAGCTTTCCAATGCAACACCCTGCAAGTCCCTTTGGTCACATGTCCAATGGTGAGAATTCAACCCAGTCTCATGGGAAAATGTACCCCCACTACGTTGGTCCACACTGCAAAACGTAGTGGAGGTACATTAATGGCCATTTTTTTGTGGTACTGTTACATTTCTTCTGCCCATACGCTTTCTATTGTTTTACGTCCTAGTCACGTGACTTTCAAGATTCCAGCTGGGAGAAGAAAAAATATATATATATATGGCCGACATTCGCTAATTTTTTTGTGCAAAGATTAATAACTTGAGTTTGTTTTTGCATTAAAATGAGTTTTGATTACATTTCTAGTGAGAAATGTATAGTTTGTTGCCATAATATTTACTCAGGGAATGTACATATTCACTTGCTTGTTCGTTTCTTGCAAAGATTTTTCAAGATAATGTGAAACTGAAACGTTTTGGTATAAACATGGCTGAGATTTCTCTAACTTTTAGTGGGAAAATCAATAATTTCAATCAGTTTCTGCATTTAAATGGGTTTTGATTACATTTATAGCGAGAAGTGTAGGGTTTATTTACATAATATTTACTTAGTGAACATACATAATCACCCGCTTGCTAGTTTTTGCTACGTTTTTCGGATCTCGTCAGGATTATGTGAAATTGCAACGTTTTGGCTGCTACCCATCGCCTAGCATTTAGCTGCCGCCCCGATTCAACATTGAATTCTTTGTGATTTAACTCCATCTGACGGATCAAACCCTCGCCACTGCGTGCGTTGCGTCTCAGGTTGATTTTCAGATCAATGCATTACGTGGTGGCATACGGGAGAAACTAATTAAACTAGTTAAAAAAAGGATCATGGGTTAAGATCGGATGTGTTTTATTTGGAAATCTACCGGATCCTTTGTGCATTTAACTTCCTGTTTGGTGCGATCTCATTGATGGGTTTTGACCAGATTTTGACCAAAGAGGAACTAAAAAAAACAAAAACAAAAAAACAATTTAAATACACAACCAGCATATCTGGAATCAATGACAGAGAGCATACATAATCACCCGCTTGCTAGTTTTTGCTACGGTTTTTCGGATCTCGTCAGGATTATGTGAAATTGCAACGTTTTGGCTGCTACCCATCGCCTAGCATTTAGCTGCCGCCCCGATTCAACATTGAATTCTTTGTGATTTAACTCCATCTGACGGATCAAACCCTCGCCACTGCGTGCGTTGCGTCTCAGGTTGATTTTCAGATCAATGCATTACGTCGTGGCATACGGGAGAAACTAATTAAACTAGTTAAAAAAAGGATCATGGGTTAAGATCGGATGTGTTTTATTTGGAAATCTACCGGATCCTTTGTGCAATTAACTTCCTGTTTGGTGCGATCTCATTGATGGGTTTTGACCAGATTTTGACCAAAGAGGAACTAAAAAAAACAAAAAACAATTTGAATACACAACCAGCATATCTGGAATCAGAGAGCGACTGGGACCAAAAGTTTATTAATTTCTCCCCACTGATTTCCATTCAAAATGTTTTCGATCCCACCGGGCTCTAGGGAAGGGGCGTGCATACCGCCACCTACTGTTCATGAGTGTGTAGCAACATTGTTTTACATCTATTAAATTCTATTTTTTTTATTTTGTATTCTGAAGATAAATAAATAATGCTTTCCTTAATCTATAAATATCTTTTATATTTCCTTTATTTCCCAATAATCCTTTAAGACTCCATTCTTGGCCTGTCCTCTTTTCAATTTCTTCCTTTGAGGTCCAGATGTTTTACAGTTCATCAATATGTGTTCTATATTTTCTATCTCTCCACATCCTTCACATTTATCATTATTTTTCCTCCCTATTAAGTATAAATTGTCATTTAAATAAGTATGACCTACTCTTAATCTGATCATTATTATTTCTTCCCTTCGGTTTCTCTCATTAATATTTCTATTTAATACTGACTTTTGTACTTTATATAACCTTCTTCCTTTTTTATCTTCATTCCACCTTTTTTGCCATTTTTCAATTTCTTTCCTCTTAATAAATGATTTTCCTTCCCCTTTCCCTAAAGGAATTGTAATTGCTATTGCCTCCTCTAATTGCTAATTTGTCTACTACTACTACATTTTCCCACTTTGACCTTTTAAGGTTAGCATATTGACCAAAAGCTGACACCAAAAATAAAGCAATCGATTATGTACGACAATATGCTACATTTAATGAAGACTAATACAGATTTTACTCTCTTATAAGAATTAGTTTTAGGTTTTATAGGGGAGAGTTTGTATCGGCAGTCATCTGGGAATCTTTTATGTATTTACTGGTAAAGAACAACCTCTCAATCCATTTAATGTAAATGTTGTGTCGAACCAGAAAGTTATTTGAAGAGCATAGATGCATTAATATGTGCATAGCTTTAACAAGGGCCTCATGAAGGTCTGTTCTGTTATTCTCTTTTGGAGAATATAGACATTGTGGGCATTCATTTCCCTGATAAGCTGGTGAAGATTCTTAGACATCCAGGTCATAATCATTCCAAAAAAAAAACAAAAAACTTTGGACTTTGTTTTTCAAGTTTGAAGACTTCCCATTCAGGACGTTTTTCAATTCAAAATTACAGTAGCCCAACAAATCCTTGTTTTGGCTAAGAAAATATGCAAATTGAACCTGATGCCTGATCCCAATAGCTTGACTCTGAACCGAATTTGATCCCTATTACTTTTTGGCCACATGCACATTATTGTGCTGCCTGGTCAACCCTATGAAAATGTTCTGGAACTGCCACTGAACTGACACCCAATGCATGGAGGGTAACCCAAAAAGGGCCATTGTTAGAGAAACTGGGTGCCTACAAAGTGCTGTTTTCAAGCTAATTAATGGAAAGTTAGGTGGAATGAAAACTAGACAAATAACAATTACAATTTCTTTAGGGAAAGGGGAAGGAAAATCATTTATTAAGAGGAAAGAAATTGAAAAATGGCAAAAAAAAAAGGTGGAATGAAGATAAAAATGAAGAAGGTTATATAAAGTACAAAAGTCAGTATTAAATAGAAATATTAATGAGAGAAACCGAAGGGAAGAAATAATAATGATCAGATTAAGAGTAGGTCATACTTATTTAAATGACAATTTATACTTAATAGGGAGGAAAAATAATGATAAATGTGAAGGATGTGGAGAGATAGAAAATATAGAACACGTATTGATGAACTGTAAAACATCTGGACCTCAAAGGAAGAAATTGAAAAGAGGACAGGCCAAGAATGGAGTCTTAAAGGATTATTGGGAAATAAAGGAAATATAAAAGATATTTATAGATTAAGGAAAGCA